CTTAGTGACATAAATGAACATTTGCACGATATTCTAATTTTTCGAGTTTCACCTGTATATTCTCACTGAAATGTCTAGTTTTTATCAAATGCTCCCATTCTATCAAATCAGTGGGAAATTTAATTTGAAAGGGCAGTGTTTGTCAAAACTCAGTTCTATTATTACACACAGCAGCAGCAGCAGCCTTTATTTTAATTTTAAAAAATACACCATAGTCCTCTCTTTAAAGTCCATTACCAAATAGCTAAAAGCAGGCATTAAGACTTTTATTTTGAGCAGAGCCATTCTATTCTTGAAACAATAAAATTAGAAGTATATCTTTTACTTTGTAGCTACTACTTTGTAGTACACTACTTCACAATGACCAAAGATACGTGCTCCAGGACAAAGTGGCAAATAAGCAGACAAGTATTCTCCCATCCTTCCCCCAAAAGAAAGAGACAGGCAAAGTAATGTATAGAGTAAATTCCACCTTCAGATCTTTTCTTTTTCTTTTATCAGTGAAATTGGCAAACTTGTTTACAGTATCTTGGGTAGAAAGCAGTTAGCCATTACTATTTAAGGACTTGGTATTAGCATTTTATTAAGAATCTTGTCCCGATAGTGCCCTTTAGAATTATGTACATTCAACTATATTACCACTATTCTTGGCTGCAAACACACCAGTCAACTTTTTAGCAGGGGGAAAGGAGTACAAAGCCTATTTTCAACTCCATGCTCCATCTTCCTGATCAGTACAAGAAGTCTCCCTAGTCAGCACTGCAACTGGATGGTCTGTTCACCATGATCCCCCGTGAGACTGAAGAGTTTGGAGCAAATTCACATACATAAAGTAGTTAACTGAATTAAGACTAGGAGCACGTGAGATCCACAAAGTCCTGTATAGAAGGAAGTAGTAGCCTTTCTGATGTTGGCCACTGTTTGTAATTTTCAAAATTCAACTGATCTGTGTTGTTCTGGTTAAGATGGGCAAGCAGTAGGGAGACCCAGGTTCTAGTCCACTGTCAGCCACAGAAGCAAGCTCACTAGGTGATTTTAAACCAATTGCTCTCAACCCAACCTACTCCACAGGTTATTACTGTGAGGAAGAAATAGGTTCTTGTCCTGTGTTTAGATATCAGCTCGTATTAAATAAAAATACTATACTCAATACTATAAAATGCTCCAACTTCAAAGAAAATGTTTAATATGTAATAAATTGTTCAATATAAAATAATAAAACTTCACAAGAATTCACAAAATGGCACAGGCATTGGAAAAACAGGAATAGACATTCAATCACTGATTCCCAGCAGTATCTCTGATGGGCACGGATAGGGTACAAACACGTTCTACCCAGAATTAGTATCACAACTAGCACTATTTAGAGCTAAAACATTTTGCCCATCAGCAAAGTGTTGGCTTCAGAAAACTGGTTTCCTTGCAAATCATTTCATGGATGAATCCTCATCTTTAAAGGCATAAATTCAACGTGTAAAACAACTCATAAATGTCCTCTGCCCTAAAACTGCTTCAGTGGAGTTTGTGAAAACAGCAAAGTGTCCTTTCTGGAGCCATGCAAGTGCTAGTTTTCCTTCTGCACTTTAGTCCTTAGCTTCTGCAGTTCCTCTTCTAAACTTTTAATATGTTCTTTAAGGACTACTTTATCTTCCTGAGCTTTCTGGTCTGCTTGGCAGCGAGCTTCTTCTATCTTTCTTTCATACCACTTCTCCATCTGACTTGACACAGCCTCAAAAAAGTACTGGGTAATTTCCAAAGCTTGAGATGTCCCTGCCAGCTGAGGACTGAGGTCCTTTCCTTCAGAGGCAGAAGGTGGGTGCTGCTGCACAGGAGGAGTCTCTACTTGTTGGTGGGTCCTGTGCTTCAACAGGCTGCTTTTGCTTGGTTTCTTTGTTTGAGTCCCTTTGTGTACCAAGCAGCCACTCTGCAATTCTGTCTTTGTACATTCAGGAGAGGCTTGCAGAACAGTTTGTACTTTAACATGCCTTAGTTTGGAGACTTCCACTGCTGGCAGTTCTTGCTGCAATCTGTTGAAACTTGCTCTGTCCTTTGGCCTAACCACTTGAGGAGATGTTGCAGAAGGAGGAGGGACAGCACCACCCATTAACTGTTGCTCTGTTCCTGTAAATAGATACAAACAATTATTATAAGTGCTTGGAGTTGGGAAGCTTGAGAAAAGCCCTGGGCAAACAGGATGATGAGAATCATAGCCCCAATGCAGGATGGCAGTGGATAAGGTCAAAATTCCTTAACGTAGTTTTGGTCCAAGGTTATCCTAATTCCCTATGTCACATTAAAAATAATTGGAAAAATGATTGAAATCTCTTGAGATCTGTATATTCATAACAAATGAGATCTTAGGAGATTGGTGACATATTTAATTGCTTTCTTGCTTGTTGTAATATTTTTGCAATTTATAGGCTGCCTGACATCCAATGACATTGGACAGCTTATAATTTTTTTAAAATTGGAACTTGCAACATTGGAATTGAACAGTGATGGGCACTGCTTGAAAACATTTGACTTCTGCTCTAACAGTAACATTATTTTTCTTTTATGGTGGTGAAAGAGGCTTTGATTGTACAAGGTGAGTACAATGTTGCCTAATGTCAAAAAGACTGGAATTTAGATTGACACCACAGGATTCAATACAGCAGATTAGCATAGATATCCAACTGGAAATTGCTGAAACAACAAAACAAAAATACCTGATGTGTCATCTTGCTGAACCACAAAATACTGCTTTCCAAAGCTCTGCTCTGTGACTGGCATTCTACTCGGTTCTGTATCTCCTGAGAGACTAACAATGCCAGAATGATGGTGGGACCCATTTGACTGTGGTGGGGTCTGGGTAGTTTTACAGTCGTTTGTACTATGAAGGTTCTCTGTATCCAAAGTCTCTGTGAGTGACTCACATGTGGACAGAGTGGATTTTGGTCTTGAAGATCTAGAGTCTCCAGAGAGCTTCATTTCTAGATTCTGAATTTTTAGCAGGCACCAAGCTTTCAACTCACCCACCAAAGACATCTGTTAAGAAGAATCCACATACATATCAGAATGCATCAGATGACATCTCTCTTGATTCTCGGCTACTCCTCTATTTTGTAACTCGATCCAAAAGTACAGTGGTACCTCGGGTCACGAACGCTTCTGTTCACAACCAATTCGGGTCACGAATAGCATCGTTCGCAAAATTTTGCTTCCGTTCGCAAACTCCACATCAGGTGATGAACAGGATCTGCAGCCATTTTCCCTGCTGACACACGTG